GAGGGAGGGAGGGAGGAAGGAAGGAAGGAAGGAGTAAAGGAAGGAAAAGAAAACTACCTGTTTGTCCTGGTGCATCCTGGCACTAGGGTACAGCACTTACTGAGTGGAACATGAGCTGGTGCCATCCCTCAACTCCTTTAGCTGGATGCCTTTGTGCATGATTACTCTGGTCAAGACAGACCTCTGGAATATTGATCTTGCTGCCACTTATTTATCTTCCCTAATTACTGAAGACGGCCTGAATCATTTCTCCCATTACCCAATATCCCTCAGCTCATCTGTCCCTCTAGCTGGGAGGAACATGCAGGACTGAGGTGTGCGGTCCCCTTGAAAGGAAGGTAATGTGACAGCAGAGAGGAATGTACTGGTCCTGGGGTTCTGAATGAGTCAGGGCCAGGGCTGAGCAGCATCTCCAGTGTCCCAGATTAGACTTCACTTCTTCCCTGGGGGTCAAGAGATCCAGATGAGCTTGGACCTCAGGCATGTTGAAGACAGAAGCCTGGGAAACTGGGCACCTGGGTCTCCTCCCTCTACTTTGTGAGACTGTCCACATTCTGCCATCTAGATTCCTTTGGACCACCAGGCAGGAAATCCTCAACAGAGACAGGAGTGGCCAGAAGAGGACTTGGCTGGGCATGCAGGGTGCTAGTGCCCTTGTCTTGAATCTCCCACATGAGGGTGGCCATAACTGTCATCTGCCAACTAGGGCTTCCAAGTGGCCCATCCCCAGGGCTGATGGACTTAGTCTCCATCTTCCTGTAGTTTGCAGGATAACCAGCTCAAGGACCCGGAGGTGCTGGACATTGTGAAGGCACTCCCTTGCCTGCCAAGGCTCCGCAAGCTTGAGTAAGTGCTCTGTCCACATCCTCTCCCAGCCCAAGTCTCCAATCCCCTGCAGACCATGCATGGGGAACCCAGTCTTGATACCTTTGCCCCAATCACACAGCCTGAGCAGAAACAGCTTCTCTGTATCAACTCTACTCCACTTGGTGAAGGTGGCAGTCACATGTCCTACTGTCAGGATACTGCAGGTCAGGTGAGCAGAAGGAATGGAACACTCATCTTCAAGGTCTTAAGAAAAAGAGAGGGAAAAGTGGGAGATGGGAAAAGAGAAGGCTTCCAATCTGTAAGACCCACATGCATGTCCCAAGTCTGTTTCACCTTAACTCTACTGATCTGCTCAAGCCTGGCACCTGGTATCTAACAAATAGTTGGATGGGTGGGTGGGATAAATGGGAGAGTGGGTTGATGGATGGATGGATGGGTGGGTGGGAGGAAGGAAGGAAGGAAAGAAAGAAAGGAAGGAAAGGAAAGAAAGAAAAATGAGGAGGAAGGGAAAGAAGTTTGGATTGTGAATGATGGGTAGGTGGATGGAAGGATGGACAGATGGATGGATGGATGGATGGATGGATGGATGGATGGATGGATGGATGATTGGTTTTGTGGGTGGATAAGTGGGTGGAAGGATAGATCAAATCTAGGAAGCACAAGCATATAAAAAGGAAGGTATCTGAATGTCGCTCTCCATGGTGCTGAACCTGCATTGTCTGTTAGGATCAGGGATAGGTTAGATGTCAAACATCTTAATTCCCAAACTATTGTAACTCCTTTTCAGAAAACTCTGAGCTTGCCTAATTTTTACTATGTTTCTTGTAAGAAATTGATTTCTGGAGGTGGAACACAAAGGCGCAATGTGTCTCTGATCATATAAAATAATATTTATTGAAATGAACTCCAAGAAATGGAAAGAAGAAAAGAAGATGTTTTCTTCTTACTTTCTAACAAAACTCTTGCAAGATTTAACAAGCAGTGACTACTTCTGTTGCTCTGAAATCAGCTTTCCCTGGATGTTTGGGGCAGGAAGTGGGGGTGATATGCCGGCTTCCAGTCCATGGGGTTTCATGCTTCTGCATCTGACCTTTCAGAGAGTCAGACCTTGTCTTCCTTCTTTCTCCACCCATGGAGACCACTGCAGAGCTGTGGAGGTAAGGAGTTTGGGAGGCATGGGTCTGGGCTCACCCCTGAGAATGAACTGGGCTCAGGAAAGAGGAAGGTGGCTGAGAGCCAAGGAAAAGCTGGAGCGGGAGCTGCTTCCTGCAGCTTCTGCTGAGGAATGGATCACTGAGGTGGTCAAGGGGTTTTTGCATCTCCTGACTTGTCTGGCCACCTCTGGCCACATCTGGCCCTGTGTAGAGGCAAGGGTGAGGCCCTGTGAGAGGATGTGAGCATACTGTTAGCCACTTTGTGCTAAATCCTTGGAAACACACTTACAAATGAATAAAACAAAGAGAGGCACTGAGGGTGGTCACATTGCGGCATTGTAAAGGGTGGAGGGTGGAAAGCACTTAGAACACAGCTAGTGTGCCGTGGTGCTCACATGCTGGCTGGGCATGGACTTCCATTTCACCGTTCTTGGATGGGTAAAGGAAGGGACCCTATTTTTCCTCTGCAAGAACATTCCACCACACTCTCAAGCTCCTCCCTGCCTGAGACTCAGAGACAGGTGACATGGTGGCCTTGAGCAAACTCCTCCCTGTCCCCTCTTCACCCAAAAGGACCAGTGTCCCTTTCCCCTCTAATTTCTAGAGCTGTCACACTCAAAATGATAGTCAGTAGCCATGGTGTCAGTAAAAGGAACACGTGAGTTCCTCGATCATGTGTGCACAATTCAAGTGCCCTTCAGTAGCGGGTGGCCAGTGGATAATAAGGTCACTGGTTACTCTTATCATAGAAGTTCTAGAGTGTCTGTCCAAGGGTCTGGGGCATCTGATTCGTATGTCCAAGCTTTCCCGTGACCCTCAGTGCTCTCCTGCCCAGAGGGAGAGAGTTGGAGGCCCTGTGGTTTCTCGCTCATGTACAGTGAGCTGCACCATGCACCTGCCCAGGAAGGCCAGTGGCTCAGACAGCAGCCGCATCTACTTCCACAGCTTCCATGCTGGGTGCATGAACAAATATTGCCTCATCTAGTCCTTCCCGAACTGTGTAAGTTGGAGATTGTCACCCCACCTTACAGAAGAAAACCAGGCTCTGATAGGTACAGAGACTGCACTGGCAAAGCCAGAATTTGAATAATAGTTCCATTTGGCCTCCAGCTTTGACCTCTTCCTGCCTGGCTGAATTGTACCTTCCCTTGGGCAAACAACCATCTTTGTGATGCACTCATTCACTATGGAGGAGAGGGTTTGGTAGGATCTTCAGGCCCTAGAAGCAAGGTGGGGGTGGGGAGACCTGGCCAATGTGTGTCTTGCTTTCAGCAGAGTTCCAGACCTACAGGAAAATGTCAGCCCAAAGACAGAGGCTCAGGGCAGAATCCTGACACTCAGGTACCTCACTGCAGAGGGAAGCGTATCCTGTGGAGGAGGGACCCCCTCCTAAGGGATGGGGCAGCAGGGGAAGGAAGGATAAAAGGAAAGCAGACGTGGGAAATGGCATGAATAAATCACCTGATTTGGATCAGGAACATCTGATGGTTGCTATAGAAACAAAGCTATGCCTAGTAGTCCCTTGCTATATAGCTCAGTACTAAGCTCCATGTTCCAGGCCCATGAGCTCATGGTTAGCCTCTTAGAAACGGCGGTGTACATCCTTATTTCCATTTGATTGAGAGGGAAACCGGGTCAGCTCAGCTTAACTTAAGCCAGTTTAACTCAGACCATTTCGGTGCCTTTCCAACAATTACCCAGCTACTATAAGGTGTGTAAGCCCTGGATCTGTCATCCTCTAGACCCCCCATATTCAGAGCTGGGCAGGGCATGCTGTATCTTCCCCCCCCCCATGAGTCCCTCTGCTCCCCACCACCACCCCAGGCTCCAGAAATGTCGACTCAAGGTCTGCGATGTGAAAGTCCTCATAGACATGCTCCGGGAAGGTCCTCACCTGGAGGAAGTGGAGTGAGTGTGTTGGGACGCGTGGACCCCAAACAGGAGTGGAAGGGCTGGGGGTTGGGGAGCAGAGGCAGGGCAGAGTGGTCAGGTCCTCACGTGTGGGTAAGGGGTGTCCGAGCATCTTCATGCTGCAGTATTTAGCACTTGTCTGGTGCTGGGTGTTCTGCTCAGAGCTTTTGTGTATGTCTTATTTAATCATCTTGAGTCAGTGATGTAAGCACTGTTACTCTTGGAGGAAGGTAAGACACAGGGAGGGAAATTGGCTCAAGGTCACACAGGTTGGAAGAGTCCCTTGAATACAGGCCTTCACTACCCTGGCCTCCGCTTCCTCCTCTGGGAGGGGATTGTGCAATGCCTGCCCTCTGGAAGTCTTGCGAATTGGAACTATGTCCACAATTGTAGCTGCACCTCGGACATAGCCAGGCATGCAGCCGGTCGCTGCAGTTAATGTTAAGGCTCACATAGGGAAGTGATGCTTCATCTAAGTCAGGAAGGTGCCGCGTGAATGGGTGGCTGAGGGTAACTCCAGCCCCCAGCATAGACCCATAGGCCCTGTGACCCCAGCCTCTCAGAGAACCATCTGGAGGATGAAGGCTGTCGACTCCTGGCAGAGGCTGTACCCCAGCTGCACATCACCAAGAAATTGGAGTGAGTTGTCCACGTTACCCTTGCATGATGGGGCGGGGGGAGCCCCAGTTGGTCCCAGCTCCAGTGAAGATGGGTGGGTGGCCCGTGCCTGACCCTTGCTCCTGCCTGAGCCGCAGCATGCCACCATTTCACCCCGTGCATGTGTGGGATGTCCATGGGCCACCAGTGGCTTGTGTCAGCCCGAGTGGGGTGTGGCAGGGTAGGGTGGGGGTTGCAGTGTGGCAGCACTGAGGGGCTGGGGGAATGGTCCTGAGGATGTTGAGATGGAAAGCTGTGGGGTGTAGTGTGGTGTGAAGGGGTGGCCATTGGGATGCTGGGAGGAGCAGGAAGGGCGTGCTGTTGGGTGTGCTGGTGCATTATGGGAGCTAAGGTGGATGTGGCATGCGGGTGGATATGTTGGGGTTCTGGGGGTCACTTTAAGGTTGGAGTTGGGGAGTATTGCATTGGGGAAAAGTGATTGGGGGTCATGGCTTTGGCTCTGTTGCTTATTCCTGGGGAAGTAATGGGATATGTCTGGCCTCAGTGTCTCCATTTGTCAAATGGAGACAGACTCAAAGGGGAGGAAGACCCCACAGTAGTCCTTACCACCCAGGCTGGAGAGCTTGCTTCTCTGAGTGGGGTACACATGTTGGGGTGGGGAGATTCTTGGCTGATCCACAAGGCCAGACTCTTGGAGAGCCTCTGGTTGGGGATAGAGGAGAGTGACAGACAGGAAGCAGCTGGGTGTGAAGAAGCTGGAACTGGCTAGGGCCCTCAGAGCTTGCTGATGGCTGGCACTCTCCCCTCCACAGCCTCAGTGACAACGGGCTCTCCATGGTGGGCGTGGCCTACGTGCTGAGGGCTGTGGACATGTGCTGGAGCCTGGCAGAGCTGCACATCAGGTGAAGCCCCGCCCCCTTCACCCCCAAGCCCGGGCCTGCCCATGTGCCCTTTACATGCACCCTGAGCATGCATTCTGGCCCCAGGCCTTATAGACCCCTACAAGCGTCCTCTGGTGCCCACTCAGACCCCATTCCAGCTGGCACACTTGAGTCCAGGACCATTCGGTATGCATCACCAAGAACTGGTAACCTCTCCTCCCCTCCACCTCTCTTCTTTCCCCAGCCTGCTGCACAAAACTGTAGTCCTTATGTTTGCCCAGGAGGCAGGGGAGCAGGACGGGTCCTGGGAAAGGTAGGCCTCCCCCAACTCCCAGCTCTGCTCTGTTGGGACCACCACCCGTCCCGCCATGGGAGAAGGGGACCATGGCCTGCCAGGGAGAGCAATGCCAGGGGCAGCAATGGGCAGGCTTGCTGGGGGCTGCAGCCCTGAACCCAGAGGGTAGAAGCACCAAGCGTCTCCCCATCCCCTGGTAGCCGGAGGAAGTTCCGAGGTGGAGACTGTGGATGGTGGGCCCAGGAGGGGTTGGGGAGCTGCAGAATGAGGCTCAGGAGATGAGGACCTTCCGACAGACCCACAGGGCTGCTAGGCCCGTTGGTCAAAACTTCTAGTGCCCTATGGCATGAGAAGCTGTTAGGGAGTGTTTGCCTCCTCCAGGGTGACCTTCTGGATTTCCCCAGCCCAGCAAAGGAGTAAGGGGCTCCTAGATGTCTACCTGCAATCTCCTGTGTAGGATATGATCTCTGCTGAAGGGGTGTGGCTAGAGATGCTTCTGATAGGACTGACTGGTGATGGAGGGAAGAGTGGAGGGGAATCTATAAGCAGCGAGCACCAAGCCAAGACCATCCACCCCAGTGAGCGGTCCCATGATTTGTCCTGAGTCACACGCCAGGCCAAAGTCAGGACTTCCTGACTCTTGACGGAGCACAGACATTGGCTGCTGGACAGTGAGGCTGGGGGTGGACATTGGTGACTCTGGCTGAGGGGTTTGCTCAGCCTGGCCTGTGCATTCCCACAGTGCTGCGCTTCTCCACAGCCTCTCAGCCCTAGACGCCTCGGAGCTGCCCTCAAGCTCCCGCAATATCAGGTATGGAGGTGACCCCTAGACCTCTACAGGGCTCCCGCCTCTTCCTGTCCTTGTCCCCAAGCCTCAAGCTCCCTGGGGATCCTCCTCACCCTGCTGTGTCCAGAAGTTGTGGTGGGCTTCCTGCTTCTTACCCCCTGTACAGCCCACTCCAGATAGGGCTCAAGACAGCCCCCCTCTGCTACCTTCCACAACTTAGGGGAACCCAGGACCATAGCCCCAGCACTGGGCCCCCATGGGGACTCTGCATGTCAGAGGGGGAGGGGTCAGGGGGCCTCTGCTACCCTGATCCTGGGCCTGGGCCCCTCCTCTTGTCTGTCTCTCTGTCTCTCCATTTCTTGTATCTTTCAAAAGTTTGTTTCTCCTTCTCTGTAGGCCTTAATTTTGTTTTTTGTTTTTTTATTTTTTGTTGTTTGTTTTTGTCCGGTCATGGGGCCTGAACTCTGGGCCTGGGCGCTGTCCCTCAGCTCTTCAGCTCAAGGCTAGCGCTCTACCACTTGAGCCACAGTGCCACTTCCAGCTTTTTTTCTTTTTGCTTATGTGGTGCTAAGGAATCGAACCCAGGGCCTCATGCATGCAAGGCAAGCACTCTACCACTGAGCCACTTTCCCAGCACCCATGTAGGCCTTAATTTTGTTGTCTACCCTCCTCCCTCTCCCTTCCCCCTCACCCTCTCCTGTCCTCTGTCTCTGTGCTCCTCATTGCCAACCCTCTCCCTCCCCCCTCCCCCCCTCTCTCTCCAGATTCAGTAACATCTTAAGTGTGTGTTGTGTGTCTGCCCCTCCATCTTTCTGTCTGCCTGGATTCCAGGCACGTTCAGTCCCCTCCTGTCCTGGCAGCCGGCCTGAGGTCCGGGTTGACAGATGGCATCACCTCCGCCTGGGTGGGCATTGCAGGCTGTGGTCTTCCGTTCCGCAGGCTGACGCACTGCGGCTTCCAGGCCAAGCACGTCAAAGCACTCTACAAAGCACTGGGGGGAAGCCGGCGCCCCCATCACCCTGGCCAGCTGTGTCACCTCGAGTAAGTGTTCATGAAGGGGACAGTGGCAGGGGTCAAAGAACCCAGGGACCTTTGTCAACTTTGACCCCTCTGAAGCCCATCCCTGCCTCCTCAGAACCTCGGGGGAAAGTCTGGGGGAGTCCCAGGTGTGCTGAGACCTGGCTGGGCAGCCTAGGCTGCTCCCGAGAGTGACAGGTGTGGGGGGCACACTTGCTCCGCCCTCCCCTAAGCTTTCTCTCCCTTCCCTTCCAGCCTGTCTAGCAATGCCCTGGGAGACCACGGGGTGGCTCGGTTGGCCCAGCTGCTCCCAGGCCTGGGACCCCTGCAATCCGTGAAGTGAGTAGGCAGGGCTGGGGGGGTCATCACCCAGAAACGGGGTGGGGATGTCCTGGCTCCCCTCCCTTCGGGAGGGCCAGCTAAAGATGTAATCAGAAAATGCATGTGAAGCCCCCCCGGGCCAGCCTGACATGGAGCGGGTGCCCAACGAAGGACAGCTCTGTTGTGGACACTGTTCACTGGGATTAGACTGAACGGAGCCCATTTCTAATAGAGACTGACTCACCGCCAGCCTCTCTGCAGAGGCGCCTGGAAGGCCAGGCCATGTGGGGCGGGGCAGGCATGCGCAGTATGAGGGAAGCATGGGATACTATGGATAGCATTATGGAAGCAGGCTAGGGACACAGTGAGGTGATGGACAGCTGCCTGGCAGCCATTCTGGCACCAGGAAGGGACATTTGGTGGGTTTGCACCCGAGAGGGCACCCAAGCACAGAGTCTGGGGGAACTCACAGGTCCTGAGGACCTGTGCGAGATGTTTCTCTTTTGTTTTGTTTTGCTTTGGGGAGAGAGGACAGGACTTAAAAGGAGGCCAGAAATCCCCTAGCTTAGCCTGTTGCAAATTTAGATGTTCTTGGCTCCCATAGCCCCCTCCTTCTCCTAAGCTTTCCTTGGCCAAACTGAGAGGTCAGAGGTCACAGGTCCTGGGTTCCAGGTTCACAGTACACTATGTATGTACTGTGTGACCTTGGGCAAGTTGTATGACCTCTCTGAGTCCCTGAGGTAGCAGCTACCATCTGTGGTTATAACAATGAATGCTGATGCCTCCTCCTGCTGCCAGTGCATCCTTCAGAAGCTGACCAGGAAAGGAGGTGTTTTCTGATACTACAGGGGGCCTGCACGAGGCCAAGGAAGGACAGGAAGGAGAGAAAAGGACATGTGGCTTGACCTCAGGTGGCCTTTTAACACTATGGGTACCTTGGTGACTCAGCGCCCTACCTGTGCCTCCAGGCCTGAGTTCCAGGGACATGGAAGAGTGAGTAAGAAGTCCTATGCTTAAGACGGGAGCCAATGGCTCACGCCTGTAATCCTAGCTACTCAGGAGGCTGAGATCTGAGGATCACCGTTCAAAGCCAGCCTGGGCAGGAAAGTCCATGAGACTCTTATCTCCAATAAACCACCAGAAAACCGGAAGTGGCACTGTGGCTCAAGTGGTAGAGCGCTCACCTTGAGCTGAAGAGCTGAGGGACAGCGCCCAGGCCCAGAGTTCAAGTCTTATGACTGACCAAAAAAAAGAAGACGAAAAAGTCCTATGATTAATCAGCTGATAGGATTTGGAGAGCAGGGAGGGCCCTGCTATTGGAACAGGGTTCCCATTTTCCCCTGCCACCAGGCCCTACCTCCCTTCATCAGATGGAGAGACAGAACCCAGACCTGGCCCAAAAGGGAACTTGGGTTCCAAGCTCAGCCTTGTCACCCACATGGCCTGTCACCCTGGGCAAGCTCTTGTCTCTTTCTGGCCCCTGCTTCCCCAGCTGTCTAGTGAGGTTGGAAGGGATGCTGTCTTTGGGACGGTCACCTCACACTAGGCCAGCCCTCCTGTGCTGGGTCCCTGACACAAAGAGGGGCTCTCAGTCATGGGTTGCCTGTGTTAATGTCCCCTGTGACCTCCAGCCTCAGCAAGAATGGCTCATCCCTGGACGCGGTGCTCAGTTTGGCCCAGTGCATGGCTTCTCTGTCGTGGGTTTTCCACCTGGACATCAGGTAAGGGTTTCTCCCTGCCCTTGGCCCCACCTTCCTTCCCATCCATGGGCCCCTGGCTTCCACGTGGGCCATCCGTCTACCAGGTCACCACATATGATCCTCAGAGCCTTGGGCAGGGCAGGTGCACTACGCAAGTGCTGGAAGTTGAAGGAATGAATGAGTGAATGAATGAATGTGATCTCCTACACGCTCAAATTTCTACCATGGGACAAGGTCCATCACCTTTCCCTTTGTCATTCTCCTGATTGTCCTCAGACATTTTAAGCCCACTGGGAGTGCCCTGGTAGTCACCATACCCAGCTTACTCGTCCTGTGAGCAATCTGGAGTTGATGAGAGGCTAGAGTGAAAACACCAGTTCCCCCCGACCCCCAATCTCAGGCTCCTCCACACAGAGCCTCCTGGCCATTTCTCTAAGGATCCCCCTTCCTTGAAGACTCCCAAGAATGGAGGTACCATGGCAGGTGGTCCAGGCTTGGCTACTTGAGCAGGTCCTTGAGGATACCATGCCTCGGTCTCCTCCTCTCTAATATGGAGCCAAGAATAATTCCTTTCCTCGTAAATTTACTGTAAGAACCAATGAGATCAGGTGGTGTTTTGAGATTGGCATGTGTTTTGATCAGTGTCGTCATTGGTTGTTACAGTCAGTGAGAAATCAGGCCTCTCCCTGTGCCCTCCCCAGCCCTCTTGGGCCTGGCTAAGGTGGCATCAAGGCCTGGGAAGAGGGTCTTTGACTTTTTTTTTAGCTTCTTTCTCTTCACTTGCAGCTTTGAGAACCAGCATATCCTCCTGACAGGTGACAAGAGAGGAAGGTGAGGAGCGGGAGCTGTGGAGGTGGGGTCTGCCCCTTGAAATGGGGGTCCCCCCCATTTCCTGCAGGTGTCCCCCCCCAATCAGCCCAACAGTATACCACTGAGGTCTGATGCCCAAGAATTAATCTGGCTTCTTCAGGGTCCTTCCCCCTCCCATATAACTAGTCGGTGACCAGCCACCTTCCTTCCATCTGTCCTGGAGAGAGCAGGGAGGGCACCCATGGACTACGGCTGGGTCAAAGGGAGCAGTTATGTGACTGTCCAGAGGGACAGAAGTGCGGACACTTCATGAGAGCCACAGCCACAGTTCTCTTACGCTTGAGAATCACTTTGAACAGCACCATTGGTGCTCAGAAAAACAATTTCCATGTCTTCCAAGTAAACGTGCATCCACTTTGGGGCTCACGGGTGCTCACGGCTGCCTCCTAGTGGTGGCAAGTGAAAGCTGGCTGCAGAGCCAGTCTTGGTGAGGTGCCTGGGCAGAATTATTTTGCAGCTAATGTGTCGCAGAAAAGTGCTGCTGTTTTTGAGCCATCTGAAACCAGGGGTAGTCCTAGGTCAGGTGGTCCTGCTCCCTAAGTCTGTTTCTGGGGATCCTCGTGGGTCTTAAAGCACAGAGAACTGAGGTTCATGTGAATTCCTAGCCAGTGGCAGAGAGGGAGGGGGCTCCGTCCTGGCTCACTCACCTGGTCAGGTGGTGCACAGCTGGACAGGTGTAAGCTGGTGGCTTTTCTCTGGCTTCCCTACCTGCACAATGAGGGCCTGTCTGTAGGGCCACTTCCACCCCCCACTTCTGAGTACGGGAGTTCACTGTGGCTGTATTGAACTTGCCTTTCAAATGTCTCCTCACCTCAGGGGTGTATTAGCTGGTGGACCTTTTCCAGAACCCCCGGCTGGAACCCAGATCTCAGGGTTCGGCCAGCGCTGCATCCCCAGGAGCTTCAGGTATTGTGTCCCTCTTCTCACTCAGGGGTGATTACAATAGTGGTGAAGGGGGTCAGGAACTGGGCAGAGGATACAGGGTCAGAGTTAGTGATTAAGAGACAGAGAGAGAGAGAGAGCCTTTGATAAAAGGGAAAAGGAAGAGAGTGACTGTGAGGGCCAGGGCCGGGCCTGGGGCTGGGGCTGGGGGCTAAGGCCAGGGCCAGATCCGGGGCTGGGAGCTGTTGGGACTTATGGGGCTACTCAGTGGCCCAAACCTCTTGCATTGTCCATAGAAAGAATCCTCCATATTTTTCTGAAACATACAGGACAGCCCAGCCACTCCCTGCCTGATTACCATCTTAATTGAGGACACCCATTTCCAGGAATATACCATGCACGTATAGTACAAGGAAAGTTGAGGCACAAAGGAAAGGGCAGACTGCTTTTGGTGGAGCCTGACCTGGGGGTTAGAACTTTCCCAGCTCTGCCACAGGGCCTTTGACAGCATTTGCCAAGGCCTTGAGGAAGGAAGTTTGGCCTTAGGAGATATTTCAGTGGGGGTGGAACTAAGGTAGCAGAGCGAAAGAAGGCCAACGAGGCTATGGAAAAGATTTTTTTTTTGTTAGTCTTGGGGCTTGATCTCAGGACCTAGATGCTGTCTCTGAGTTCTTTTTTCTTAAAGATAGCCACAGCACCACTTCTGGTTTTCTAGTGGTTAATTGGAGATGAGTCTCACGGGAACTTTTTTGCCTGGGCTGGCTTTAAGCTACGATCCTCAGATCTCAGCCTCCTGAGTAGCTAGGGTTACAGGCATGAGCCACCAGCACCTGTCCAACATTTGCTTTTTGACCTAAGGGTAATAAGGAACTAGATGGGTTTTGTGCAGTGTTAAAAGATGAGACTCTTAGTAGTCGGGCACCAGTAGCTCACACTTGGAATCCAAACTACTCAGAGGCTGAGATCTGAGGATTGAGAGTCAAAGTCAGCCTAAGCAGGAAAGTCCATGAGACTTTTATCTCCAATTAACCAGGGGAAAGCCAGAAGTGGAGCTGTGGCTCAAGTGGTAGAGCTCTAGCCTTGCACATACACAAAAAGCTCAGGGACAGCCCTCAGGCCCTGAGTTCAAACCCCAGGACCAGCGCACACACACACACACACACACACACACACACAAGACTTGCAGGGTGATGAGGTAGGTGGTGGAAGGTGAAGGTGGGATCTGGGGATGCTGAGTAGTCCAGGTGAGAGTAGAGTCCCGAGCTCAGGCCGAGTACTAGAAGGGACTCAGAGGATGATCACTGGGTGGTAATTGGGTACTCAGGGGCCCTCACTATGGCTGTCGGAGTTCTGGAGAACAGGGCTAAGGGGCAGTCTAGGCCTACAGCTGGGGAGCAGGGTGGTGGGGCAGGAGGGTTCTGGGCTAGACAGGAGCCAGAGCCCTCTCTGATCCTCTGCCCTTGCCCAGCCTCAAGGAGTGTCCACTGAATCCCCTAAGCCTCACTCGTCTCTTCCACTCTCTGGAGACATGTCCAGGACCACTGGAAATTAGGTAAGTGACAAGACATAGCCCCAGTAGCACAATGGAGTGTCTGCTCGGAAACCTGGGTAGAGACCAGTGAGACTTCCGGGTCTCTCCCCACCACCCCCTTCCCCACCCATCACCCCCCTCATCCTGTCTCTGAGGCTGGAGCTTAGCACTCCTGAAAGCCTTCCTTGGGGTGCCCTCTCCTTCCGGGAAGACCAGACTTGAGATCAGGAGTCAGCTCAGCCATCTGTAAGCTGTGGATGAGAGCAAATGACTTTAGCTTCAACTCCTGCATCTGCCGAGTGGACAGTCGCCCCGGCCTGTGGTTGTCATTGCTGTGATTCTATAGAATAATTACCTTAAGCCAGGTTCTGTGGGCTCCCACCTGTAATCCTAGCTACTCAGGAGGCTGAGATCTGAGGATCATGGTTCAAAGCCAGCCCAGGCAGGAAAGTCTGTGAAATTCTTATCTCCAGTGAACCATCAGAAAACCAGAAGTAGCACCATAGTGGTAAAGCTAGCCTTGAGCAGAAGAGCTCAGGGACAGTGCCCAGGCCCTGAATTCAAGCCCCACAATGAAGGAAAAAAGCTACAGTCTTGTTTCCTGCCTGTGGATCTGTTTCAATTACTCCTTTCCAACAGGACGATCCATGCAACCCGTGTTCGTGTCCTTCCCACGCCATATTCAAACACACGGAAGGAGATGTGCTTACATTATGTGGCTGACCCAGGCTCTTATTTTTTGAGATCTCTCTGCAGTCAGCTTTTGTCCTGTAACTACAGCAAGGCTATCCTTGAGACAGGGTCTTAGTATGTAGTCCAGGCTGGCCTCAAGCTCAAGATCTTCCTGCATCAGTCTCCGCAATGCTCGGATTACAGATGTGTGTAGCCTCTCCAGACTCTTTTTAGCCAGTATTAGGGCTAGAACTCAGAATCTGTCACTTTCACTTGGCTTTTCCATTCAAGGCTAGCACTCTACCACTTGAGCCATACCTCTACTTCCGGCTTTTTGTGTGTGTCTGTGGTTAACTGGAGATAACAGTCTCTTGGATTTGTCCACCTAGGCTGTCTTGGAAATGAAATCCTCAGATCTCAGCCTCCTGAGTAGCTAGGATTACAGGCGTGAGCCACCACACCACCCAGCTAGATTCATTATTTTCTTTTGGGGGGGCTAGTATTGGGGCTTGAATTCAGGGTTCACACCCTCAGCTTTTTGACTCACAGCTGGCACTCTACCACTTGAGCCCCACCTTGCTGGTTAATTGGGGATAAGAGTTTTTCAGATTAGTCTGCCCTGGCTGGCTCTGAACCTCTATTCTCAGATCTTAGCCTCCTGAGTAGTAGGATTATAGGCGTGACCATCAGCACCTGGCTGGATTCATTTTCTAACAAGCTACTTTGAAATCGTTTTAGACCCGATTTACAAGCAAGTTGCAAGAGGGAACACAGCGAAGTTCCCCACACTGCACCGTAGCTTCCCAGTGGTCATCATCTTGGGTTGCCACAAGGAAGAAACAGACTGTAAACTCCAGGCTTTAATGGTACAGGGCCAGTTTTTTCACGGATGCCTGCCATCCAGAAACCTGTCCCTTTGAGGCAAAGGGAGGCCTCCTGGCTGGCTTTCCCATTCCTGTCTTGGTAGTTTTGAGGAGTCCAGGCAGGTCTGTTTGTCCAGTGTTTTTCTCCTGGTTAAACTGGAGGTCTAGGCTTTCAGGAAGAGCAGAGAGGAGGTGAAGAGCCTGTGTCATTGTGTCATCGCTGGGCTGTGTGCCACCAACTGAAAAAAACAGCTGCTGATGTTGAACTTGACCTCCTGGCCAAGATGGGAGTGATCACACTTCCTCACCATGAAGTTACTGTTTCATTTAAACAGTGTGTGTGTGTGCGTGTGTGTGTGTGTTGTTTGTGTGTGTGTGTGTGTGTTGGTCCTGGGGCTTGGACTCAGGACCTGGACCCTGTCCCTGAGCTTCTTTTTTTCTATCACTTGAGCCACAGTGCCACTTCTAGCTTGTTCTGAGGAATTTATTGGAAATAAGAGTCTCACTGACGTTCTGCCCAGACTGGTTTCAAAGCACGATCCTCAGTCACAGCCTCCTGAGTAGCAAGGATTACAGGTATGAGCCACTAGCACTTGGCTCAACAACATTTTTATCATGGAAACTTCAAGCATAGATAGAGTAGAGAGAAGTCTGGCTTGGGAGCACATGCCTGTACCCTCAGCTACACGGGAGGCAGAGGTTAAGAAGACCTTTGTCTGAGGCTCGCCAGCAAAAGCTTGAGACCCTAACTAAGAAACTTACATTGGGTACTGGGGGTGGAAAGACACAGCGATCACAGGTAGCCTGAGCACAGGCTCCACCTCACTGTGGCCGGAAGTGAGATGATGACACCATGATCTAAACACATCTCACTACCTGGTGCTGGTGGCTCACGCCTATGATCCTAGCTACTCAGGCAAATGAGGTCTGAGGATCGCAATTCAAAACCAGCTGAGACAGAAAAGTCCATGAGACTCCAATTCCAATTAAGCACAGAAAAAGCATGAAGTGGAGCTGTCTATGGCTCGAAGTGGTAGAGCACTAGCCTTGAGCACAAAGAGCTCAGGGACAGTACCCAGGCCCCAAGTTCAAGCCCCCACGACCAACAACAAAAATTAGACCACCATGACACCTGCAGAAGACTATATTAGCAGTGATCACTAGGCGCTTCCTGCTCAAGTCCACTGGCCACCGTGGCTACAGGCGGACCCTGGGGATGCTGAGACGGTCAATTTCCATTGGTTTCAAACAAAAGCAAAGTGTGTAAACCTGGCCTTTCCCCAAGCAGATACCATAGGGCCATGGCCTTGGGATGTGTTGGAAGTGCTGTGTGGGGAGGCGCGGTGAGAAGACCGCCCTCAGACTAGCCCCAGGCCTGGGGACAGAAAGGAGCTACAGTCTGGGTCCTATCAGAGATGACGCTGTAACGTTCTAGCCCCAGAGCCACCACCAGCCACTCATCTTACCCCTTCCCCAAGGGCTCTTACCCAGCTCCTCCCTTCTCCCCCTCCCCCATGCCCCAACCAACTGGGGCATCAGCCAGGCCCAGGGCCACAGTGCAGAGGAGTATAGAAGAAGAGGGCAACGGAACAATGGGGAGAAGGGGAGGGAGGGAACACAGCCCACAGGCCTCTGGGGGCAGGAAGTGCATGCGCACTGGCATCTCCCCTGCTGACCTGCAGCTTGTTGAGTTTCTGGGTCAATACAGCATCCTTTCTTCAATGAATGTGCTTTGAATATTATAAATACTTGGCCCTCAAACCCTAAACTTGCTGGTCCACTGACTTTGGGAGAAGCTACTTGCAGCCCATTGGCTGTCAGCAGTGTCCAGTAGCATAGGAAAGGCTCGGACAAGTCCCGCAGCAAAGATGTCTTCATCTGCCCTTCCTCCTGGGCAGCCCCATGCAAACTCAGAGGCCTAGCGTAGGGGGAGGAGGGAAGAGTGTTTCCAGCAACTCTAGCTAGGCATCATCTCCAGGAGGTTCTGTCTGCTTTTCTAGAAGGTTCCCTGGCCTCATTCAGGTGTTTTGTTTCATAGGTTGTCCTGCGAGGCCCTGAGTGATGAGAGCCTGGAGATCTTGCTGCGCTGCTTTCCCCAGCTGCCCCAGCTAAGCCTGCTGCAGTAAGACTGGACACTTCCATGTCTCCTGTCCCTTGTCCTTGTCCCCAGGGCTCTACTCTGCAAAACCATCCTCTGCTTCCCCATACCTCCTCCCTCGCACGCTTCCTTTACTTCATCTGGCACAGCTTGGGACTTGTATCCCTGTCTAGCTTTAGCCTTTGCTAACCTTGAGCTATAGAGGAGTTCTCTGTCTTAGTTTTCTGTTCTGGGAAATGGGATTCATATCTCCCAGCTCTTCCTCAGGGTGGGATTCAAACAGACTAGGTGCCTAAAAAGCACTCGAACACTGGTAGTTGAGCAGATCTCGGTGGCCTACGCCTGTCATCCCAGCTACTCAGGAGCCAGAAAGTGGTAATGTTCAGCCTGGGTAAAAAGTTTTCAAGTAGGCTAGGAATGTGGCTTAGTGGTAGGATGCTTGCCTAGCATGCATGGAGCCCTGGGTTCGATTCCTCAGTACCACATACACAGAAAAAAGCTGGAAGTGGTGCTGTGGCTCTAGGGGTAGAGTGCTAACCTTGAGCAAAAAGAAGTTCAAGAAGAGTTCCCAGGCCCTGAGTTCAAGCCCCAGGACAGAAAAAAAGTTTTCAAGGCAAGTATTGGTAGCTTATGCCTGTAATCCTAGCTACTCAGGAGGCTGAGATCTGAGGATCACAGTTCAAAGCCAGTCCTGGCAGGAAAGTCTGTGAGACTCTTATCTCCAATGAACCACCAGCAAACAGGAAGTGGTGCTGTGGTTCAAAGTGGTAGAAAGCTATCCTTGAGTGAAAAAGCTTAGGGACAGCACCCAGGCCTTGAGTTCAAGCACCAGAATTGACAACAAAAAAAAATAATAATAAGTTTTCAAACACATGTGGTGATTCGTGCCTGTGGCCCAGCTACTCTAGAGGCATAGATTAGAGGTTTGAAAAATTCTTCCTGAAAAAAATCACTAAAAAGCTGCCAGGTGCTGGTGGTACATGCCTATACTCCTAGCTATTCAAGAGACTGAGATCTGAGAACCATGGTTCAAAGCCAGCCCCAGGTAGGAAAGTCAATGGAACTTCTACCTCCAATTAATCAGCAGAAAGCTAGACGTGGAGGTGTGGTTCAAATGGTAGAGCACCAGTCTTGAGCACATAAAACAAGCAAGAGTATGATGCCCTGAGTTCAAGCCCCAGTACTGGAAAATAAATAAATAAATAAATAAAAATAGCACAATACATTAATATAATATAATATATATTGCCCTGCCTGGAAAATACGATGATACCTTAGTACTCTGATAAAAACCAATGGGGAAATCTGTGACTAGCAAGCTATCATCTCTGGACAGGTCACTACTGCATAGATTGCGGTCATGAATGTGTGTCACCCATTGTGATCTGAAAGGTTACCTTTTAACCCCATCCAGAATTGCCCAAAGTATTCAAAACTCTGTTTCCTAATTTAATCTCAGACTGGTACAAATTTAAGGAAGATTTACTTTTAAATATTCTTCTAGAAGGAGGAGAGAACAGCCACAGTCAAGATGGAAAAATACAACAGGAAATTAAATCATAATATTAGAGAAAGCGTGCGCGCAGAGGCCATACTCTGCCCATCTAAATTGCTCTGCCATCTCTTCTCACCTGCCTGGGACCTTGCTTCGTCTAATCCATGGTTGGAAGGGAGGAGAGTGACAGGGTTTAGAAATGTTCTTTAGTCACTACTCTTGTGATCAGATAAAAGTGAGCAGGTGGCAAGCCTCCAACCAGAGAGGGGCTTCTCGTTACTCACATCACACAGCCTCGGCCTCAGCTCCTTATCTGGGAATGTGATGGCAAGCCTGACTGTCCCCAGGCTTTGTTTTATTCAACCCACTGTATGTGTGTGTGTGTGTGTGTGTGTGTGTGTGTGTGTGTGTGTGCGCGCGCGCATTCACGGCACATACACATACACACCCACGAGCATGGTTGAACATACAAGAGAGAGACAGAAAGAGACAAAGAGCCTGCTGTGGAGCAGGCCCTGTCTGGGACCTGGGGAAAGAACTAGGGACTTTGTCTTCTTGGAACTTTCCCTATAGTCACAGAGCTAAAGAAAAAGCTGAGTAAAATCCCACCAGGGTAATGATAAGGTCTTTCCTCCAGGTGGCAAATGAGCCTCCAGAGGTGACTTAGAGGACAGCAGAAATGGTCAGGCCAGGCTCGGTGGCTTCTGCCTGTAATTCTACCAACTCAGGAGGCTGAGAGCTGAGGATCGCTGTGCAAAGCTAGTCAGGCAGAAAAGTCTGTGAAACTCTTATTTCCAACTAACTAGCCAAAAGCTATAAATGGAGGTGTGGCTTAAATGGTACAATACCAGCCAAGCAAGCAAGCTGGATGAGCGTGAAGCCCTAAGTTCAAGCCCAAGTACTAGCACAAAACAGAAGAGGGAAGAGGGAGAAGAAAGAGGAGGAAGAAGAGGAGGAGGAGAAGGGGGGAGGAGGAGGAGGGGAAGATGTAGCGGCCTGTGTGAGGCAGTGGGCAGGTGTGGGGCATGGGGAAATCTCAGGTGTGGAGCTGAAAGGGGCACCACTGGGGTAAAATGAACCCATCTGGCCTTCTCTAAAACTGTGGTTTACAACTGGGTGTCTTAGACTGGGAATGTAGTTTAGTGATAGAGTGCTTACCCAGCATGCACAAAGCCCTGGGTTCCATTCCTCAGTACCACATAAACAGAAAAGGCTGCAAGTGGCTCTGTGGCTCAAGTGGTAGAATGCTAGCTTTGAGCAAACAGGGACAATGCTCAGGCCCTGAGTTCAAGTCCCAGGACTGGAAAAAAACAAAAAACAAAATACAGGGCTGGGAAGGTGGCTCAGTGGTAGAGCGCTTGCCTTGCATGCCTGAGGCCCTGGGTTCGATTCCTCAGCACCACATAAGCAAAAAGAAAAAAGCCGGAAGTGGCGCTGTGGCTTAAGTGGTAGAGTGCTAGCCTTGAGCTGAAAAGCTGAGGGACAACGTCCAGGCCCAGAGTTCAGGCCCCACGATGGGACCCAAAAAAAAAATACAACTGGGTGTCTTTGCCCTTGGGACACTGGGTGGGAGTTTGGGATTGCTTGGCCAGGGGCAGGACAGGCCTCTAATGCGTATAAGCCCAAAGTCTGCTAAACTTCATGGAGGGGACAAGATAGCTGCCCACAGCAAGATCCACTGTGCCCCCGAGGACCCAGAGCTTCCTATTCGATCAGCAAGGACTCACCTGCCTAATCCTATTTGCAATACACTACAGTAAAAATCATGGCAAGCTTGGCCCTGCCAGCCAGTGCCAGGCAGTGTGCTAGCCAGAGAGGACTAAATCTCCATGCCCAGGAGAGGCCCATGATTCATCATATTCTTCCAGATACAGCGACTGAGGCTGAGAGGGTAAATGCCTTGTTCAAGGTCACACAGCAGTGACCATTCCAGTCTGCTTGTCCCCGCAGCCCCTCTGTGTCCCTGCCTTCTTCCTTACGGCCTCTAGACACTGCAGACCCTCAGTGTCTGCCTTCCTCTACCATGCTTCCTGGGCTGCTAATCTTGCTTCACTCTGCTCTGTCCTCAGGCTAAGCCAGACACCACTGTCCCCAAGGAGCCCCTGGCTGCTGGCTGGCGCCCTCCCCCTGTGCCCTCGGGGTCAGAAGCTGGAGATCAGGTGGGCCTTGAGCTCGGATTCATTTGGGAGGGGTGGGCCTGGAGTCTGGCAGGTGTAGAAGGACCCAGGCCAAAGGCTGGGCTCCCAAGGCTGTGAGAGGGGGTGACTGAGCCCATGCTATCGGCTGCAGGTCCCTGAATCAAGCAACCCTACACTTCAGACTCAGGGAGGAGCCAGAAGGCGTGTACTGTGGGTGAGTCCCTGGCACTATGTGGGCAGCCTATAGGGTCTGGGGACCAGAAGACCTGTGTCCTGGTGGCCAGAGCACCAGGAGGACTCTGCAGGGGACACTGGCTGCCCCAACAAAGGTCCCCAAGAGGGTCGGCCTTTTTATATTTGTTCCCCAATTGTGGGACTTGAACTCAGGGCCTGGGTGCTGTCCCTGAGCTTTTTTGCTCAAGGCTAGCACTCTGCTTCTTTGAGCCACAGCGCCTCTTCTGGTTTTCTGGTAGTTAATTGAAGATAAGAGTCTCACACACAGACTTTCTTGCCCTGGGTGGGGGAATGGGGACAAAGGGGAGGGGGAGGGGGAGGCTCTGTCTCTTAAAGGAGCCTTAGCTCTTGAGCTTGATAGGGAATCACCTGATTCATGCCTGGCTCCAGAATCTCTGACTGGGGCTTATTGAAGTCCCCAAATTTGCATGTCAAGCTCAGGTACTGTCTGGGGTCTTGCTATGTGGACAGAGGGTAGTGGGTACTGGGTACTTCCAGGGAAACCAGCTTGGGTGGGGAACCCGCTCGTGGATGGGGTAGTCAGGGTAGCTGACTGCCCCTCCCCCTGCCCACTCTGCCCTGCAGGTTCCCAGACTGTGGTCTGGGCCCAGAGCACGTGGAGCAGCTGTGCTGGTCACTGGGCCAGTGTGAAACCCTCAGCCATCTGGAGTAAGTTGGGGATGTGTGGGGTGGGCAGGGTGGGGGGCATCCACCGGCAGCCCTCAGGGCCAGCTAGCAGGGAAAGGGCAGCATGCCAGTCACATCGCTGCTCGTTTCCCTTCACCACCACTTCCCTCCCCTCTGCCCTGCCCTACCCCACCCTGTGGCTGGACTTGTGGGGGGGGGGAGTTTCTAATCCAGGCAATTCTGCAAAGAATGTTCCAGAAGCTTCTCAGCCTCATGTGGAGCCTACGTGTGCAAGCTCTGTGGGCAGATGGGATATAGAGAAGGAACCCCGCCTTGTCCAGCAGGAAACATGGGATGAAAATCATGTATTTTAAAGAGAGAACGAGCTGTATGCCTTAGGGTTTTTCGAGGTTTCGTGACAGAGGGAAATTCTGATTTTAAAGGTCATTTTATTAAGAAATTTCAAGCTAGGCATCAGTGGCTCATGCCTGTCATCCCAGCTACTCAGAAGGCTGAGATCTGAGGATTGACATTCCAAGCCAGCTGGGACAGGAAAACTTGTGAGACCCTTACATCCAATTAAACAACCAAAAAAGCCAGAAATGGAGCTGTAGCTCAGGTGGTAGAGAACTAGCCTTGAACACAAATGGTCAGAAATAACGCCTAAGCCCTGAGTTCAAGTCCCAAAACTGGTATGAGAGAAGGAGGTGGGCGGGGGGCGGGGGGAGAAAAGTTTATAAGACAAAGCAATTTTTAAATGAAATTTCTCAAGAAAAGACAAGTCCCAAAAGTATCAAGGAGCTAGGTGTGGTGGTACATGCCTGTAATCCCAGCACTCTGGAGATAGATGGAAGAGGATCCTGAGTTCCGGGACAGCCTGGGCTCCATACTGAGACCCAGTCTCAAACAAACCAACACCAAACAGACTTTGAAACTCATGCCAAGGATGCAGGCAGATAATGAGATGTTTGGGCGGTGCACGGAACCGTGTTGTAAAGGAAGGGGACTAAGGGCAGTATGGAGGCACTGGTTCTGATGTCGTGGCACTCTCTGTTGGGTTATAGACACTCTCTAGGCCTTCTTCTGAGTTCATTCTTGCTCAGAAATCATGGCTCTCACTGCTACAGGCCATGGGTGGGGAAGAAGAGAATTGAGTCTTCTCCTGGAAGCCTGCTGGAGGGAACCCTGAGAGTCACCAGCCAGGGAGGGGGGAAGCCATCAGATTCGCGGTGGTGGAGCGCCCCAGGGGTGACTGCAGGGGCGATGGCCTGGGATGGTGGGCACAGGAGAGCAGCGGAGCTCGGGGAGACGCTGACCCACCAACCTCTCCCGCCTCTTCCAGCCTTGATGCAAACCTGATGGGCAACGAGGGGCTCAGCTCCCTTCTGGAGCACCTGCAGCAGACACCCCTCTCGGGGTGGCTTGAGTAAGTGGGGGACGGTCTCAACGAAGGCGGGAGCAGGACTGCCTGTGGTCAAGAGCATGAGTGGAGTCTGGGTGCTGGTGGTGGCTCAGGCCTGTCATCCTAGCAACTCAGTAGGCTGAGATCTGAGGATCATGGTTCGAAGCCAGCTCATGGCAGAAAAGTCCGTGAGACTCTTACAGTTAGTGAATCACCAAAAAGCTGAAAGTGGCTCAAGTGATCGAGCCCTAGCCTTGAGCAAAAATAAGGTCATAGACTGTGCTCAGGCCTGGCCTTCAAACCCACTATGGACAGCCCCTCCACCAGACCCTTCAAGAGACACTACAGTTTATGGCCAGGAGACTCGCTGATCTGGGGAATGGGGGTGAGGGGATTGAAGCTGCCTGGCTTCTGGATCATCCCATCCCTGAGGCCCAGTCTATGGGTCATGAATTTGGAGATATCCCTGGAGCAGAGGGATGATCCCCAAGAAGCCAGCCCCCTTCTCCCCCCTTTCCCCAGGCACCTGGAAGGCAGACAGAAGCCACAGCCTGCATATAACTTGTTGCTAGGCAACCAAGTTTTGCACTCTGGGAGTCCCTGATGCAGCTGTGGCTGGAGCTGCAGGCTGGACCTCATCAAGGCCTTTTCTTGGACCCTGGAGGGGGACAGAGGTTGCAGGGGGGCAGCCAGGGACGTTCACGAGGACCCAGGGTCTGGGGCCCCTTGGGAGTCTCTCTGTGGACCTCAGGATGGTATCTGGAGGGAAGATGGGGAGCTGGACCTATTCTGAGCCTTACTTCTCCCCTAGCCTGAGTCACAACGGCATCTCTCAGGAGGGCGCCCTGAGCCTGGTGGAGACTCTGCCCTCCAACCCTCGTATCCGGGAGGCCTTGGTGAAGTAAGGGGACACCACCCCCATTGACCCCACGTGCCCCAGCCCCCCTCCATGTGACTCTCTCTGAGTCCCATCCCCTGGTACCAAGAGGTGTTACCATCCTCACAGATGAGTCTGGGGTGTCCTGTGGTCTACGTGGGCCTTGCCCTTGCCCCTGCGCTCCCCGGGGGCCCTCGGGGAGGCTGGCACGTGTGGGTGGCACACCCCCCTGCCTTGTTGTTCTCCAGCCTGGGCCCCGAGCAGCGCTTCCGGCTTCGTTTCTCCAGGCAGGAGGCATCCGGGGTGACACTGAGGTAACCCCAGGTGGGGTGATGGCGTGTGTTGGGGTGGGGTCCTCCCAGAGGCAGGCCCTGGCCCAGGCCTTCTCGGGTATCCCTACTAGGTCCTCAGGGAGACGGGGGGGGGGGGGGGGAGGTAAGGCCCGCAGTCCCCACCCAGGCCTCCCCCTCTGCTTCCTCCCTCAGGCTGAGCCACTGCCATTTGAGGCCAGAGCATGTGCCCAGACTGGCAGCTGGCCTGAGCCACGCCCTCCAGCCCATGGAGCTCACGTGAGTGGACACAGGGATGGCAGGAAGGCGGGATCCAGGCAGAGCCCCACAGTGATTGGCTTCTGTCCACAGGCTCACCGAGTGCAGCCTGGACCTGACACAGCTGATGGTGCTCCTGAGCTGGGTGAAGCCACCAGCAGGGGTGCTGGGGATCAGGTACCTTCTTTCTCCCTGGGAGGGGTGTGGGAGATCTGGACAGGGCTCCCTGAGGGACTGGGGCCCCAGAACTAGCCTCAGGCAGAGAGAGGCCCAGTAGTTTGACATATTTTTCCATATTTGCTTCAGTTTTGTTTGCTTTTATGCTGGTCCTGGGGTACCGGGGTGCTGGCCCTGAGCTTTTTTTCTTTCCTTAAAGCTAGTGCTCTACCACTTGAGCCACATCTCCACTTCTGGCTTTTTGGTGGGTCATTGGAAATAAGAGTCTCATGAACTTTCCAGAGTTGGCTTTGAACTGCAATTCTGATCTCAGCCTTCTGAATAGCTAGGATTACAGGTGTGAGCTACGAGTCTGGTGCTAGCTTGCTTCAGATTTTTAGTTTTAGTTTTTTAACGAATGTATATTAAAATTAATGATAGCTTCTCACCCTGAATGTCACAGACTTTCCTGCCTGGGATTAGCTTTGAACCATGATCCTCAGATCTTAGCCACCAGAGTAGCTAGGATTATAAGCATGAGCCACCAGTGCCTTGGCTTGCTTCAGATTTTTATTTTTATTTTTTAGCAAATGTATATTAAAATTAATGCTAAGTATCACCCTAAATGTCACTCCCAAATAGCTCACCAGGGGTTTCTAAAGTATAGGGGGGAAGTGGCACTGTGGCTCAAGTGGTAGAGCCCTAGCTGAAGAGCTGAGGGACAGCGCCAAGACCCAGAGTTCAAGTCCCATGAGTGACAAAATAAATAAAATAAAATAAAAATAAAAAAATTCCTTGCTATGCCAGGGCTGGGAAGGTGGCTCAGTGGTAGAGTGCTTGCCTTGCATGCATGAGGCCCTGGGTTTGATTGCTCAGCACCACATAAACAGAAAGAAAAAAAAAACAGAAGGGGTTCTGTGGCTCAAGTGGTAGAGCACTAGCCTTGAGCTTAGGGACAGTGTTCAGGCCCTGAATTCAAGCCCCAGAGCTGGCAAAAATTAATGTGTGTGTGTGTGTGTGTGTGTGTGTGTGTGTGTGAATACACACATATAGGCATTTTCTACATAGTCACAGCTGAGTGAGCACACCTGCGTGGATCCTAGGATCCTGTCACCTCATCCAATCTGAATTCCTCATGGTCCCCCCAGTGGGGCAGCCCGGGGGTACTTCCCCCCGGATCCAGTTTAGGCTATGTGCGGGGGTGACACTGGCCCCTCTTCTCTGTGAAGTCCATGGTGCTGGGCTGTAACTGCCGCCTTCTGCTTCTGTCTGGTCCTTCCTGCTGGCGTCATGAGCTTGTTCCTCTAAGTCCTGACTAAGTCTCACTGAAAACTAGCCCAACAGGCTCCACGAGAGATGAGTTTACATGTCAGAACCCCAAACGTGACTTCAGACTGTGCTGAGCCAGGCTCCTCCCAGCCCATGACGAAGCAAATGAGACCTGGTTGTTCTCCCAAATCATGTTTTTAAAAACTATGCCGTGCTGGGAATGGATCCCAGGGCCTGTGCATTCTAGGCAAGCACACTATATCCCAGCCCGGGGAGCACTCAGAATCATTAGGTTACATGTAGCAGAACTGACCAGCCCAACCATCTTTGAAGTTGCATACCTCATTAGCATTAAGCACATTCACAACATTGTACAATTATTATTTTTCACCTTGCAAAACAGAAACTCTGTACCCAGTAAACCACAGCCCCATTTCCCATTGTCCCCAGTCCCTGCCAAGCACCTTTCTGCTCTCTGTCTCCATGGATGTGACCACACAAAGTATCTCCTGCAAGTAGAATCATACAGTATTTGGTCCATGGCGAAGCCTGGATAAGAATGAATGTCTTCCTTTTTTAAGGCTGCATAATATTCCATTATACGATAAAGGCCAATTTTCCCCCTCCGTTTACTGATGGCCATGTAAAAACCACTGCTATGAATATGGGCATGCAGATTTCTCCTTTTTTTAGGGAGTATGGAGCCAGAGTTTTCTAGGTCACTGAGGTAACTTAAAATAAAATGTTTCTAAGCCCCAAAGTGGTAAGTACTTGTAAGAAGTCCAGAATAACATAAAGAAGAAAATACTGTTTAAAAATAAATAATGCTGGGCTGGGAAGGTGGCTCAGTGGTAGAGTGCTTGCCTTGCATGCATGAGGCCCTGGGTTCGATTCCTCAGCACCACATAAACAGAAAAAGCTGGAAGTGGCACTGTGGCTCAAGTGGTAGAGTGCTAGCCTTGAGCTGAAGAGCTCTGGGGCAGCGCCCAGGTCCAGAGTTCAAACCCCACAATCAACTAAAAAATTTAAAATAAAAAGATGCTCTGTATAATGGTAAGGCACCCATATTTTAAATAATTCTCATTTTCCTGCTTCTCAATTAATGCATGCAGACTGTAGAAAACAGCCCAAACTAAAAATAAAATTGGGGCCAGGTACAAGTGATTCATGATTCATGTCTGTAATCCTAGCTATTCAAGAGCCTGATCTAAAGATAGCAGTTCGAAGCCAGCTCAGGGAGACAAATCTGAGAAACTCTTTCTCTCCATTTAACCAGCAAAATGTGGAGGAAGTGGAGCTGTGGCTCAAGTGGTAGTGTTGCCAGCCTTGAGCAGAAAAGCCAAGTGACATTGTGAGGCCCTGAGTTCAAGCCCTAGTACAGGTGCTAAACAAACAAATCAACAAGCAAACAAGAGAATGAATGAATCAACCAATAGGAAAGATCATATTGTGTATACATCTTGATTTCCTACAGATTGATTGCCACAGAACTTTATGTTGATCTCGAGTGAAATCTAAACCATTGCATTTAAAGAATGCTGTGGCTTTGGATTGTTGCAAAATAATCATTGGAATAAGGCTGCTGTTAATGTCCTTTATGGTGCTTGTGCTAATTGTATAATCGTATGGTTTTTAAGAATAATCCTCTGGTGGCCATCCTGACCCCACCCCCAGGTGTGCTATTGGGCCGTGCTCACCTGGGGGCGTCCTTTGTGTGTCCCCTTCCTTACAGGGTAGAGGAACCCTGGGTGGGCAGAGCTGGGGTGCTGGCCCTGCTGGAAGTCTGTGCCCAGGTCTCAGGCCACATCACGGAGATAAGGTGAGGCAGAGAGGACCCCCTTTCTGAGTGCTCCACCCTGATCTCCTGCCCTGTGGGGTAACAGCTGGGGCGCTGGCAAATTGGTTTCGCCAGCAGCCCTGGGCATTGGTGAAGGTCGCGCCTGATTGCTCCATGCAGCCCAGGGCTGCTGGTGGGGGCAGACGTGGCTGGGGTCCACACGGGGTGCCTGGCAGTGTGCAGTGGCTGAGTTGGGGGCCACAGGGTTGACGGAGAGCAGCAGAGGGCGGAGGCTTCGGGGTCCCTGGCGAGCGTGTCAGGTCAGCAGGTGGTTTTCCCGCTGCACCCCTGACTGCGCCCATCTGGCCTCAGCCTGGGATGGAAGAACGGAGTCCCCGCGGGGCGGAGGAGCAGAAAAGCTCAGGTGTGAAGCTGTTTGTGCCAGGCCACCATGGTACAGATGCCTGGGGCTCCACTCGCTTCCTCCAGCCCGAATGGAGGAAGTAGGGGGGAGAGCTTCGCACCTCCCTCAGCTCCCCAGATCCCCCCCACATTGAGTCCCACGCCCAGGTCAAAGCCAGGGAGCTCTGACCACAAGACAAGTCCCCTCCCAGCCTTCCCATGGCACGCTGCCCCAGAGCACACCCCTGGAATATTCCAGAACTGTCTGCCACAGGATGCCTCTTGTGGCTCTCTGTCACAGCCTGAAAGCCTCATCGGCTGAGTCATTTCACAGTGTTGAAGGAGGTCGAGCCTGGCAGCGCATGCTTATAATCCCAGCTACTCAAGGGGTGGAGAGAGCAAGATCACGGTTCTAGAACAGCCTCAGCACTCAGATTGAAATTGAAAAAAGCAAAAATAAGACTAGAAGCTTGACTGGAGGGAATAGAGTGTTTGCCTAACAAGTGTGAGGCCCTGAGTTCAGTTTACCACAAAATAAACATTCTAGCAGGGGAAGCCACTGCTTTGGGGTCCCCAGCCTGGCCCTGGCAGGCAGCGGGGGGACCCGGGCAGGGTCTGGGCACAAAGCTCAGACAGCCAGGACAAACTCACTGACCAAAGCCAGCTCCTCCCTCCTGCCCAGCATCGCTGAGACGCAGCTCTGGCTCCAACTGGAATTCCCTCGAAAGGAAGAGGATCCCCAGCAGGCCCTCAGGTAGGATCTGGCACCCAGGACCCTCAAGGGAGAGGCTGCTAGCAGGGAGAGGATGTGTGGCCACTTCAGACCCATACTTCTCATGTCCTCTTTCCAGGGACTTCAAGGTCAGCTCTCTACACTGCCCATCCCTCCCTCGAACCCTAGGCTCAGTCTTAAATACCTTCTTGTTCTCCTTGACCTCAGGGCCTTTGCACAGTCTGCTCACCCCCAAAGGGTCAATTGCCCAACAGTTACTCAGTCCTCACCAGGGCAGCCTGGTGTTCATAAAGGGCTCCTTTCCCCTATCTGCCTCCAGGCTGGCTGGCCATGGCCCTGGGACCCCCTACAGCTGTCTTGTCATTCAGCTGATGGAGACGTGTGGCAGGCTGCAGCAGCTCAGGTCAGATCCCAGAACCCACCGGGGCTCCAAGTCCTTCAATGACGCTCCCCCACCCCCTGCTGCTTCAGCCCGGTTAGCTCCCACCCCACACAGGCCCAGGGGGAGAGTGGAGAGCTCTTGGGTGCTCTTTCCCCTGTGGTGAGCCTGAAACCTTCTGGAATCTTCTTGGGCCTTTTCAGCTTGTCCCAGGTGAACCTCTGCAACGAAGGTATCATCAGCTCCCAGCTGCTGCTGAGCCTCCTGCCCGCCCTCTCTGAGCTGAGAACCTTCCGGTATGTAGATGACAGTGTCTCAGCCTCCTGGCAGATCAGCCAGGGCCAGTCCCCCCTCGTATCACCCCAGTCCTAGAGATGAGGCCAGGGGTGCACAGTCATAGATACACAGCAAAGTGCTTCTAGCTTGCTTTTTGGTTAAGCCGTCATTCTTGTCCAGTCCTCTGGATTGTGATTCCTTTGGCCTCCTGAGAAGCTAGGACTGCAGGTGTGTGCCCTACACCTGCTTGTTCTGTTTTGTTTTTGCTTTTAATTTTTTTAGTGCTATTATAAAGGTGATGTACGGAGGGGTTACTGTTTCAAGTCAAGTACCGTTACATTTCTTTTTGGACAATGTCGCCTCATCCCTCACTCTCTTCCACATTTTCCCTCTCTGTCCCCACCCACAAGTTGTATAATTCATTTTCAACATAGTGTCTAGTGAGTACCATTGCTACATTTGTCTACCCTATGTCCTTCCATTTCCTGGCTTGTTTTTGTGGTGTGTGGGGTGGTGTGGGGTGGTATGGGGTGTGTGTGTGTGTGTGTGTGTGTGTGTGTGTGTGTTTAAGGGTCTTAAAGCAGGCATTGGCGGCTCATACCTATAATCCTAGCTACTCAGGAGGCTGACATCTGAGGATCATGATTTGAGGCTAACAGTTGCACAGGCCCTGAGTTCAAGCCCCAGTATTGGCACGCGCATGCGCGCGAGCACACACACACACACACACACACACACACACACACATGCATATAGTCTTATTGTGGCTAGGGGGCATGGCAAAGTGAAAGACTGCCTAGCAAGTACAAGGACCCAAGTTCAAACCCCACTGAGAGTAAGCTGTGTAATTGTGTCCCTACCCCTTAGTATTTCAGTGAATGTCCCTATAAGGGAGCATTTTCCTCCCTGATCCCTACAATTACAATAACAGGAAAGTGAACACAGACATATGATTAAAGCACAGTTTACACCTCATATTTACCAGTGTCCCAAGGGTGTTGATTGCTGTTTTTTGTTCTTTTCCCCTGTCCTAGAGCTACTTCAGGATCACACAGTGCATTTGGTGCATCTCGCTTTCCTTGCCTGTGATCCAGAAGCCTTTTCAGCCCGTCTATGTCTCCCTGCTCTCTGGCAGCTGCATTCCAGGCCAGCAATGTCGCTTGTGCACTGCTGTGTCCTTCTCTGGCTCATTTCAGGGCTAAGCCAGGCCTGGGTGCCTGTCCCCTTGCTGTGGATGGGGAAGCTAAGGGGGAGAAGGGGGTGCACCCTGGGCTCTGCCCCTTGCTAGGATACCGTTCTCCTTTTGTGATTAATACAGGCCTTTTGAGGGAGGTCCCTTAATACTAAATACCTTCCTCACACTTTCACCCATATATTTTAGCACCCTTTGATAACTCTCGCCTGAAACAACTGTTAGTTTGACAGTTGCAAATTGGAGCTTTTGTTTGTTTGTTTCTTTTCCCTTTTGGGCAGTACTGGGGCTTGAACTCAGGGCTTTGAGATCTTGCGTGGCTTTTTTACTCAAGGCTGGCATGCTAACCACTTGAGCCATGCCTCCATTTCCAGTTTTTTGCTAGTTAATTAGAGGCAAGAGTCTTTCAGCTTTGTCTGCCTAGGCTGGCTTTGAACCTTGATCTTCAGATTTCAGTCTCCCGAGTAGCTAGGATTACAAGCATGAGCTGCTGGTGTCTGGGCCTCTTTTTTGGTTTTTTTTTAGGAACTCTTTTGCTAAGCAGCCCAGGCAGACCTGGAACTTTAGATCCTCCTGCTTCAGCCTCCCAAGGGCTAGAATCATAGGAACATACTCCCACACCTGGCTAAAACGGAATTGTTCTAGGTTTGCATTTTCTCCCAATGCATCTGATTGTATGAAGAAGAAACACATGGGCCAGGTATGGTGGTGGGTATGTGTCATCCAAGCTTCTCAGGAGACGGAGACAGAAGGATCCTGGTCTATGCTTGTCACCAGCAGACCCTGGGCTGAGACCCCAGATCCTGCCTGACCTGATGCCCTTTGGTCCCCCCAGGCTGACCTCCAGCTGTGCCAGCACTGAGAGCCTCACCCACCTGGCATCCGGCCTGAGCCACTGTGGCCACATGGAGGAATTGGAGTGAGTGGCCAGATGTTGGGACCCAGGAAGGGATGGCCCAATGAGGACAGGGCTCTGAGAGCACAGCTGGGGCTGTGGTGGGGAGGATGGTGGGACTCGGGCCTATGTCCTCTGTAAAGGAGTTCAGCCACTCCGAGTATGGCCAGGCATGGCTGAGCACCATGGTAAATGCTTGCCATTTCCGTTGCTGGCCAGAGAGCAGCCCAGGACTCCTTCCTCCTCTCTGGCCTGGATTGCCACGTTTGTCCAAATGGGTCTTGCAATCCTGGCTCTGCCTCTGCTGGCTGTGGGTGGGTGCAGAGGGCCGGCTAAGGGACGGAGGGCTGGCTGCGTGTGTGTGTGTGTGTGTGTGTGTGTGTGTGTGTGTGTGTGCGTGGTCCCTCGCCCCCTCGCATCCTCTCTGCACGTTCATTCATCCAGGCCGCCCTTTCTCCATTGAGCACTGTGAATGCCAGTGTCCCCTGCTGTGAGGACCCTTGGGAAGCTGGCAGAGGCTGGGCGGTGGGCATGGTGTGGGTTCTGCGTGCCCAGTCAGCCTCCCAGGAGGATTGAGGGGTGGAAGGGGCTGGTGGAGGAGACAGCTGGGCAGCCTGATCTAACCGCAGCCTCACGTCTGGTCCTCACCAGCTTCTCCAGCAGTCAGCTCGGTGTGGAGGGCACCAGGATGCTGGTGGCCGCCCTGGAGGGAATGCGCGGGCTGAAGAGGCTCCAGTAAGTGTTGGGAGGTGCAAGGGGATGGGGAGTAAGGGGAGACGTGGGGGGGATAGGGGGCAGGGGGCATGGAACTCTTGTATCTGTGGGCACAAACTGTAAGTCTCTGGATGGGCCCAGGGGGGCCACATGCCCTCTGAGATGGGTCACCTGCTCACCTGCCTGACTGTCACCAAGATGCTTGATTGCGGGAAGCAGAATATCCAACTCAAGAAAACCTAAGTTCACTGGTGTATGTCATTTGGCTTCAGGCATGGCTGGATCCAGGGGTTGGGTTCTCTCTCTCTCTCTCTCCCCCTCCCTTCTTGCCTCCCTCCCCCCCCCCACACACACACCTCTTCCTTCTCTCACAGCTGCAGGCTCACTTTCTCCCAGCATAGTGGTAAAGGAGTATGCATGCCTTACCCTGTGGTTACATTACAACAAAAGGCCCTAGGTGAAGCCCAGGGCCTGGTGGCTCACACCTGTAATCCCAGCAACTCCAGGAGGCTGAGATCTGAGGATCATGGTTTGAGCCAGCCAGGGTTGGAAAGCTCACGACACTTTTATTCCAAATTAACCAACAAAAAGCCAGAAGTGGAGCTGTATCTCAAGGGGTAGAGTGCTATTCTTGAGCAAAACAATTCAGGGACAGCACCTCAGGCCCTGAATTCAGGCCCCAGGAGGGGACACACACACACACACACACACACACACACACACACACACACACACACACACACACACCTCTCTACCTGAAGTCTCATTGGACTAGCTTGGATCACCTGACCACCCCTAAACCAATCACTGCAGTTCTGATCACAAGTGTTGGTTCTCATTGGCCAGCCATGCACATGCCCCTTCATGGTGCTTTAGGGTTCTGTCAATGGGAGAAGGGGAAAAGACTTGGACTGAGGCTGGCGACCTCCCAGATGTCCACTGTCTTTTGCTTTTTTAGTAACTGACCCCTATGCACTGGGAGTCATCAAATTCCTGGGAACAGCAAAGCCAGCCTCAGTCTAAAGATGTGCCTCCTGGAGCTTGGATTCCTGTGCCGATGCTATCTGGATGGAATGCTTAATGGCATTTGCTGCTTTCATCTCTCAGTTTTCCTGACAACCAAAAATACTCCCTGGTTATAAAAATTCCATCATTATGGAAATATGGAACAAAGACTGTGAAATCCCCAGATGACCCTCCCTGAGAAAACTCTGGGAAATAATCAGCTTGTGAATTTGCCTCTGGAGCTTTCACTACATATGTTTGGAATGCAGTTTAAAAGTAGCCTTCTGACTTTTTGTTTCATAACACTGAAATTCTTCTACTATGCCCCTCTTGGCTTTGTCCTGGGGGAGGACAAAGAGGGGGAGGGGGAGGGGCGAGGAAAACCTAGGACTATAGGGCCTGCTTATCTCCCCACAGAGCTGTTGCTTAGGCCAGCCTGCACCTCACTTCACTCAGCTTTCTGGAACCTTCTAGAATCTCTCTCTTCCTTTTCCTCCTCCTCCTCCTCCTCCTCCTCCTCCCCCTCCTCCTCTTTTGTGCAGTGGATTGAACCTAAAGCCTTGTTGGGACTAGAGGTCACTCACTGGCTCATTCACGCATCTGACAAGTATATACAATCAGGCACTTGGGCCAGGGCGATGGGCATATGGTACTTTGGAAAACAGAGCACCCCAGTCCTACTCCCCACACGGCGGGCCATGACACTTCTGAGCCCGGCACTGATACTACTCCTTATCGCTTGCTGGCTCCATTTCCAAGTCCATAAAATGGACATAATCATGTCTTTTCTCTATGCAAGAATGAGATGGATCCTTAGTTCCCAGTTCCAAATCTTTCTTTCTTCCTTCCTTCCTTCCTTCCTTCCTTCCTTTCTTTCTTTCTTTCTTTCTTTCTTTCTTTCTTTCTTTCTTTCTTTCTTTCTTTCTTTCTTTCTT